GCTTCATGAAGGGGAAATCATGTCTGAAAAATTTCTTTGTGCTGGTAGCAAACAGGATAAAGGGAACCCAGGAGATGTAATATTGTACATTTGCATTTGCATTTCTAAAAGGTGTTTGATAAGGTTATCACACAAGGCTGCTCCACACAACAGCCCATGATGTTGGGGGTGTATATTCTCATGAAAAGAAAATTGATTGACTAATAGAGAATAGACAGTTGGAATAAAGGGAGCATTTTTAGGACAGTATAATACGACTCATGGAGTGTCACAGAGCTCAGTGCTGGAGGCCACAATTATTTACAATATATATTAATGACTTGAATGAGGAGTTCTGGAGGAGATTACAAATATAGGGTGGGGCAAGGCATTGAGGATTTGGAACAGGACTTGGGGCAGGATAAGACACTGGCAGCAATTAGATTTTGGATGAGTTAATTTTTACAGAAGATAGAACTTAGGAGATAAAGGCAAAATGCTGCAGATTTGGCAGGTTTGATAACCAAGTCAGGGTTGGATCTGGGAGAACACAGTGCAGCAATATCAGACCAGGTGACAGAAGCAGAGAAATTATGTCAGCAGTTCTCAGGAAAGAGATCAAGTGCAGGTAAAAGGCCAGAGAGAATGGGTCTTGATGACGGGGAGTACTGGACATGGATGGCGGGTAGAAGACTCCCATCCAAAGAAGTTGGTATGGAGGGGTAGATGACTGAAGAGTTCAACATCAGGTCATGTCTGAAATTAATTTGAGGTGGGGGGAGTAAAGAGCTAAAGCCAAGTCACAGAATCATACAGCACAGAAACAGGCCCTTCGATCCAACTCATCCATGCCAACCAGGTATCCCAAAATAAATTAGTCCCATATCTCTCTAAGCCTTTCTTATTCATGTACCTGTCCAAATGTCTTTTAAATATTGTAACTGTACTTGTCTCTATCACTTCCTTTAGCAGTTCATTTCACATTTGAACCACTGTGTGCGAGAAAAAAAGTTGCTTCTCTGGTTCCTTTTAAATCTTTTCCCTCTCACTTTAAACCTTTTTTTGAACTCCCCTACTCAAGGAAAAGACCTTGGCAATTCACCTTATCTATGCCCCTCATGATTTTAATAAACCTCTATGAGGTCACCCCTCAACCTCCTACACTCAAACGAACAAAGTCCCAGCCTATTTGGCCTCTCATACCTCAAACCATCAGTCCAGTAACATCCTTGTAAATCTTTTCTGCACCCTTTCCAATTTAATTATATCCTTCCTGTAGCAGGGAAACTACAACTGTACGTGGTACTCCAAAGGTGGCCTCACCGATGTCTTGTACAGCCACAACATCATATTCCAACTTCTATACTCAATGCTCTGACCAATGAAGGCAAGCGTGCCAAACGCCTTCTTCACCACCCTGTCTACCTGTGACACCACTTTCCAGAAATTATGGACCTGAATGCTTAAGTCTCTGTTCGACAACACTTCCCAGGTTCCTACCATGAACTGTGTAAATCCTGGCCTGGTTTGTCTTACCAAAATGCATCATCTCGCATTTATCCAAATTAAACTTCTTCTGGCACTCTTTGGCCACTGGCCCAGCTCATCAAGACCCTGTTGTACTCTTAAGAGAAGAATCTTTGCAGACCACTATACCATCAATTTTGGTGTCATCCATAAACTTAGTAACAATGCTTCCTATATTCTCATCAAATTTGTTTATATAAATAACAAAGGAGAGTGGATCCAGCACCAATCTTTGCAGAACACCCACTGGTCACAGGCCTCTAGTCCGAAAAACAATCCTCAACCACTGTCTTCTGTCTCCTACTGTCAAGCCAATTTTATACCAATTCACTAGCCCTCCTGGATCCCACGTGATCAAACTTTACTAACCAGTCTACCATGCAGAACCTTATGGAAGGCCTTGCTAAAGTCTATATAGACAACGTCTACTGCTCTGCCCTGATCTATCCTCTTGGTCATGTTCTCAGAAAAACTCAACTCAGTTTGTGAGACACACACATGCTGACTATTCCTAATCAGTCTTTGCCTCTCCAAATGCATGTAAATCCTGTCTCTCAGAATCCCCTCCAACACTTACCCACCACTGACGTCAAATTCACAGGTCTTTAGTTCCCTGGCTTTTCCTGCTGTCTTTCTTACATAAGAGCACAACATTAGCCACTTTGCAGACTTCTGGCACCTCACCCGTGTCTGTAGATGATACAAATATTTCTGCCAGGGGCCCTGTAATTTCTTCCCTAGCTTCCCACAATGTCAAGTCAGGACCCACAGATTTATCTACTTTTATGCATTTTAAGATCTCCAATACTACGTCTTCTGTAATACAGACTGTTTTCACTATTTCCCCAAGTTCCCTAGCTTCCATGTCTTTCTCCACAGTAAATACTGATGCAAAATATTCGACTGATAGCTCATCCATCTCCTGTGGTTCCACACATAGACAGCCTCGTCGATCTTTAAGGAGCCCTATTCTCTCCCTCGACACTCTTTTCCCCTTAGCTGAGCACAGATGATTCTGCATCAGAAAGGGGAAGGTCAGAGGGTATAGTGAATATATGGTGAAAAGTTGGATTAAAGGAAGGGATGGAGTGAAAGGGAAAGGGGAGACAGAATTCAAAGGAGCGTCAGTACTGAGATTTTTCGCGCCAGCATTCTTCAACACCCCTGAAAGGAAGAGAAAACCTTTTGCTTAAGTGTCAAATGAGATGAATAATTTGAGAGACCATCGGGACAGTCCAGCTGTAAGGGAGCTATGAATATGGATTTCAGCAGATGAAAGGTCCTACCGAGATGAAAACAGGCAGTGTTAATGGTTTGGTGGATGAGGTGAGAAGCTCATCTCGGATAAAACAGACAGCAAGGTCCCAGTCAGGCTTAATCTAAAACCGTTGCCAAGGAAAGGGATGGAGTCAGTAACCGGGGACAGAGTTTGGATCAGGGGATGAAAATGGCTTCAGTATTCCAAATATTTAATTGCAGGAAATTAGCATCGATGTGGAATGGAATATCAATAGCAGAGCAGTCCGACAATGAGAGAGGGGGTGGATGCTGCAGCAGAGCTAAGTGTACAATGTGAAATTAGAGGGAGCTGACCCTGGGATGAGATTGAGGGGGTCACTGAGACTGACGGACCGGACAGAATCAGCACTGACCCCGACCCCGACCCCCATTCCCATTCCCATTCCCCTTCACCTTCACCATACTCACTCCCTCCCTCCTTCACTCACTTCTTCTCTCCCTCGAAAAGCAGAAAACTCTCGAAAGCCGGCGGCGCGTTCATCCCGGAACAAACAAACAGACACCACGAGCAGCAAGAGTGATTTCAGACTCACCGCAACTCCGGATATATCGCCTCCTCCTGGACCCTCCGCGAACAGCGCGCCCTCCCGGATACTCCGAGAACAGCGCATCCTCCTGGACCTTCCGAGAACAGCGCGCCCTCCTGGACCCTCCGCGAACAGCGTGTCCCCTCCCGGACCTTCAGAGAACAGCGCGCCCTCCTGGAACCTCCGAGAACAGCGCGCCCGGATACTTGGGGGAGCAGGTAGCGTCCTCGTAAATCTCTTCTGCATCCTCTCTAAAGCTTCCACATCCTTCCTACAATGAGGCGCCCAGAACTGAACACAATATGCCAAGTGTGGTCTAACCAGGGTTTTATAGAGCTGCAGCATAACCTTGTAGCTCTTAAACTCAATCCCCCTGCAAATGAAAGCCAACACACCATACGCTTTCTTAACAACCCTATCAACTTGGGTAGCAACTTTTAGGTATCTATGGACATGGACCCCAAAATTCCTCCTGTTCCTACAGACTCCTCTTTACCCACAGCGCATGTTACTCCTTCAAACAATTCCAATAAATTGGTTAAGTATGGTTCCTGTTTTACTAAACTATGCTGACTCTTTCCAATTTTTTTTTCTATTCATTTTGTGGGATGTGGGCATCGCTGGCTGGCCAGCATTTCTTGCCCATTCCTTGTTGCCCTTGAGAAGGTGGTGGTGAGCTGCCTTCTTGAACCGCAGCATTCCTCCTGCTGTGGGTTGACCAACAATGCTATTAGGGAGGAAATTCCAGGATTTTGACCCAGCGACAGTGAAGGAACGGCGATATATTTCCAAGTCAGAATGGTGAGTGACTTGGAGGGGAACTTGGAGGTGGTGGTGTTCCCATATATCTGCTGCCCTTGTCCTTCTAGTTGGAAGTGGCCGTGGGTTTGGAAGGTGCTGTCTGAGGATCTTTGGTGAATTTCTGCAGTGCACCTTGTAGATGGTACACACTGCTGCTACTGAGCGTCCGGTGGTGGAGGGAGTGAATGTTTGTAGATGTAGTGCCAATCAAGCGGGCTGCTTTGTCCTGGATGGTGTCAAACTTCTTGAGTGTTGTTGGGGCTGCACTCATCCAGGCAAGTGGGGAGTATTCCATCACACTCCTGACTTGTGCCTTATAGATGATGGACAGGCTTTGAAGAGTCAGGAGGTGAGTTACTTGCCCCAGTATTCCCAGCTTCTGGCCTGCTCTTGTAACCACTGTGTTAATGTGGTGAGTCCAGTTGAGTTTCTGGTCAATGGTAACCCCCAGGATGTTGATAGTGGGGGATTCAGTGACACCATTGAATGTCAAGGGACGGTGGTTAGATTGTCTCTTATTGGTGATGGTCATAGCCTGGCATTTGTGTGGCGCGAATGTCACTTGCCACTTGTCGGCCAAGCGTGGATATTATCCAGATCTTGTTGCATGTGAACATGGACTGCTTCAGTATCAGAGGAGTCAAGAATGATGCTGAATATTGTGCACTCATCGGCGAACATCCCCACTTCTGACCTTATGATGGAGGGAAGGTCATTGATGAAGCAGCTGAAGATGGTTGGGCCGAGGACACTACCCTGAGGAACTCCTGCAGAGATGTCCTGGAGCTAGTTTTTCTAGGTGTCCAATTCTAACCTTCTTAATGAGGATCTGCACTACCAGACAAAACCAAATCATAAAGAAAACAATTCAATCAACAAAGTACTTTATTGTTTTAAACAGGTTATAAAAGAGAAATTTACATGCATCTAGAACAATATCTTACACTTAATAGAAATAAGTGTACAGAGACTCATACATATCAATGACATTGTCATTGATCAATGTTGTGGAATGATTGATATGGCATTTGATCCAAAGCACCAGTCACGAGGGAGTTTAATTCTCAAATCCTAAAGCTGTTCAGACCAAGGTGGATGACCACTTCCTCAGCATCTGCCATGTAGGAGAGCCATGGTATATATAAAGTTCCCATTCAGTGCATGCAGCTACGTCTCTAGACTGGACAATAAGCTTATTGTATAGTAAAAGCTGTACATTACAGACACCTTAGCAACTGGTATCCACCATCCACCTTTTGCAGATGTCCATATTCTTAAAATGATAGCTCTGCAATTTTATAGTGCAAAAGGGAATTCCTTACCCACCACCTATAGTGGCAGAGAAACTGTTCTATTTCTGGGGTAGATTGGCCTCAGCATTCTATCCCAGAGAGAGTGTTGTTTGTCCCAAAGTGAATACAACTGGGAGTCCCTAGCTGGTGAAGGAGGGAAATGGTGACATCCCTCCCACACTGACCAATGGCCTGACAACAGACACCAAAAAAGCCCACAATGTCTCATGGCAGCTTCATGCGCAACACTTGTGGCAGATATTGCTTTTAAACGTTTGACCTTACAGAGCCTTCAACAGAGGTGATTCACCAAATGGAGACCCCCAACCCACCCCTCCTGTATGCTGCAAAGCCATCACCTCGAGCTAAGTCAAAGTACGGCAACATGTGCAGGGGCTGGCTACAAGGATCTCCATCCCACAACCATCTTTCACAAAACCTACTGTTAAAATTCCTCACGGACTGCCCCTCATAAGAACACAGGCAGAACAGGAACAATCTGTCAGGGGAATGCAGTGAACTCAACTCAGTGCAGGTTCCTAAAAACAGCAGCTTTGAGTGTCACATTTTAAGGTGTAGAAGAACCTAGTGGATTAAAGATTGTCAGCACTTTGTAATTTGTTTGAGAGTACCATGTGCATCTTTCATATTACAAGTCATCTGGATCTCTCACTAAGAACTCACTGTTTGCACATGTCCATTTTTTTTAGGGTGTTCATTCACACAAATTTCATGCCAATCCCACAAGACAAATGCTGAGTGTGTTTTGGTGTCACTGGCACATTCAGTAATTTCCGATAATAATGTCCCAGTCTGCTGTTACCAATAGCTGTGCATTTATCTACTGTGGAACAGCCATTGTAACATGAACTGTCAGGTGTTGAAAAGCAGAGTCATCTACTGCTGTTCTTGGTAGAATGTAATCAAACAGTTGGACAGCCAAAGGGCACAGGAACAATTCCAAAGGGCATGGTAGCGCACTATAAAGGTCTACCGTGACTTCAGTGTTTGGGCTTGATCAAGGTCACAATAACAGATTTGGGGCCCTGATGAACATCATTTTGTGATCTATTACCTAAAATTGAAGCTTTAAACACAAGTATGAAGATTTAAAACAGAGGTACGATGCCTCTAATGTGTATATGGCAGGGCATGGTTATTGATTGCAGGGAACACCACATGGCACTATAAGGAATAATGAACTATTCTGTCAGATGTTGTACAGCAGAGTAAGAGATGGAAAAGTGATAAACAAGGGAGCAATCAGGATTAACAGCTCCTCAAACATCAGGGTATTGTAGGGATGCCACTCTTTACGGCAGTTAAGAAAATATGATAATATACTTTGTGTATGAATACGAAATGGAATGTGTAACTATGTGACAGGATAACTTATTTAGGGTAACATTTTAATAGCAAGTGCTATGTACAAAATACTGTAGCTATGAGAATACTACACATGCTGGAACATTGTGTTTGATTGTGCTCATTACATCATAATGTTTATCTTCATGGGAGGTGAGAGCCAGACTACAGGACCATAAAGCAAAAATATTTTCTAATCAACCTGCTCAGAGGTGTCATTGCACACCTCAGGATCAGGTGGGACTTGAAATGTAGGCCTCCTATCTCAGAGTCAGAGAAACTACCACTGCACCCTAAGAGGACTACAGGATATGTGCAGGATTGAAGATAGTGCTGAATACTGTAAGCTGGATCCAGTAGAGTATTATACAGATGTTACATGGACTATAAGTGACTAATGTGATTGATGCTCCAAAGGCATGCCCCCACCCTCCACCCCAAACACAGCCTCCAACGCTTCAATGGGAGTTAACTCCTTCTGCTGGTGCATCACTCTGTCTCCAAGCACAATTCCCAGAGGCAAGTGACCCTCTGTCTCCAGGAGGGGGCAGCAGATTCCAAGAATGATGGGGTCCCGGTGACCAGGGTTTCTGAGTGGAGGGGTGTCTGGAGGAAGAGCTCTATTTGTCGGTCCTTCATTTTCTTGTGTCACTGGGAGCTTTTTAACGTGAAAATAAAGAATCCCAAATGTGAGGGTAAACCCAGGCATAGGATAGGTCCAATCACACCCTGCTTGTTGACATTCTGCACCAGGATGTTTGTTTGATGTTACAGTCTGGTTGCTGTCCCTGAATACAACAGGAACAGAGCATCCTACAGTTGTGAGCTGCTGGCTTGTGGGAAGTTTCAGTCTGGAGGAGCTGGTCTCTCTGTAAACTACTGTCCATGATTCACATCTGTCAGCATGTTACAGGACACAAATACATTTACAAACCATTCAAACGATTAATTACAGGAAATACACATTTACAACTTTTTTTTGCCATGGACTATTTCTTGCATAATTCAAAACAAACAGGAATCTCTGGGCCAAAGGAGGATGCAAGAAGATATCGTCACAAATGTAGATTAGATGTTAAAAAATAGAGTTTGAAATTAAACATTCAGGTGAAACATTTACACTTTCTCATGAAGTTATGTGAGCAAATCAAGAGAGAAGTTTTTGTCCTTTGATGTTTCCCAGCGTTCAAAGTTCCGATGAGCCCTCTCCAGATCCTGGATGATCTGGAGCAGTTGGTTTGGAATGTCTGCCTTATCAATCCCTGCGAAGGAAGGACAGTTTAAGAGAGAGAACTCCACGATCTACCAGGGCCAGCAAGGCAGCCACACTCACCCTGTACACCACGGTTCCCAGCACCCATTCTGCCCCGCAAAACCCTCTATTATTTCCTTGAGGATTCCTTACACAGGTTGCTCATTAATATGTACAAGGACATCCGGCACCCACCTAAAACAGGCACCAGGGCAATACCCCGAACAAACAGGCCCACATGAATGATAGTTATGGGCAGGATGTCCCATTGCTACATCACTGCACTCATTTCAAGATGCACCAATTTTTATCACAATGCTTTGTTTGAAACACATCTTTTTCTAGGATTTCAGAATTCCTCATGCCCCTCTGTTCTTCCTCTCTACACACCCCACCATTGACCCAGATTTTAGTTACACTCATCAGTCAGGAATGAAGCACATCATAAACACATTCTAAACATTGGGCGTTCAGTGGGAGTGGGAATTCTCCAGAGAGCACTGGCAGTCATGTCCCAAAGTAAGATTTAGTTCTGCCTTTCTGAATTTTACTTCAAGTATTAAAAACCGTAAAAGAAACTGCAAGTCAACACTTAGCGGGGGGGAGGGAGTGTGTGAGGAGGATCTTACAGAAATATATAAAATTATAAAGGGAATAGATAAGATGGAAGCAGGAAGGTTGTTTCCATTTAAGGGTGAAACTAGAAGTAGGGGGCATAGCCTCACATTAAGGGGCAGCAGATTTAGGACTGAGTTGAGGAGGAACCTCCTCATCCAAAGGGTTGCAAATCTGTGGAATTCCCTGCCCAGTGGAGCAGTTGAGGCTTCCTCATTGAATGTTTTAAGGCAAAGACAGATTTTTGAACAGTAAAGGAATTAAGGGTTATCGTGAGAGGGCGGGTAAGCGGAGCTGAGCCCATAAAATGATCAGCCATGATCTTATTAAATGGCAGGGTAGGCTCGAGGAGCCAGATGGCCTACTCCTGCTCCTGGTTCTTATGTTCCTATAAACTGCCTAACAGTAATAGTTCGTCAGTTATCAACATGAGCTAATTATTGTGAACAACGAGATGAGTTTACCATTTAAACTTGTTTAGAGACGTGTATAAAAGTGTAGTGCTTTGGTTGATGCGGAACTTGTTCGTGAACAGAGTTTGCAAACCTGGTTCAAGGTGGACACTATCTATTAGTCCATCTTAGGCCACTTCACATTTCGAATCACTTCTTAATGAGGCACAGCAACTACAAAAAATGAAAAACCAAGGAACTGAACCATCCAGTCTGGATGCCACAGCCTCATGGGATCCCTCCCATGTCTGCCCAAAAATTTGCAGAGAGGGGATTGGTCTGTGCAGCTACATGAAGACCCACAGCTAAAACCCACCACCCGGAGTAGGCATGGGAAAGTGAGAGGTCAGGACTAGAATTATAAAAGCAGGGATGTACTTCTGAGGCTTTATAAGGCTCTGGTCAGACCACATCTAGAGTATTGTGAGCAATTCTGGGCCCCATATCTCAGGAAAGATGGACTGGACCTGGAGCGGGTTCAGATGAGGTTCACGAGAATGGTCCCAGGAACGAAAAGCTTAACATATGAGGAATGCTTGAGGACTCTGGGTCTATGCTCGATAGAGTTGAAGGATGAGGGGGGATTGAATTGAAACTTACAGAATACTGAATGGCCTGGACAGAGTGGATGTTGGGAAGATGCTTCCATTGGGAGGACAGACTAGGACCCAAGGGCACAGCCTTAGAGTAAAGGGAAGACCTTTTAGAACGGAGATAAGGAGAAACTTCTTCAGCCAGAGAGTGGTGAATCTATGGAATTCACTGCCACCGAAGGCTATGGAGGCCAGGTCATTGATTATATTTAAGATGGAGATAGATAGGTTCTTGATTGTCAAGGGGATTAAAGGGGAGAAGATGGGAGAATGGGATTGAGAAACTTATCAGCCATGATTGAATGGCAGAACAAACTCAATGGGCCGAATGGCCTAATTTCTGCTCCTGTGTCTTATAGTCTTACGTCATCCTCAGATCAAGAGACAGCCAATGCATGATGTATCAAAAAGTTTTCAAGATGGGAATTCACTGTGAGTAGAATTTGATGTTCAGGGCTCTGTGTGAGTGAGAGTCAGACAGGTATGTGAACCTCAGGTGCAGTAATAGGGGGAACCTCAGTGTTTGACCTTATCCAGCAAAGCACAAGGTTCTTACTGTTTGCACAGATGAGGCAAAGTCTTACAAAGATCAAGGAGCTAACTGCCCAGGGCATTGTGGTTCAGGAGGCTGGTTCAGAGTGAGAAGTGCTGGAATGGAATGTGGTAGCAATAGGGAACAATATGTCTCTGTGTATAGAGCAGCAGAATGTTTAGGGAGGTTATTCCAGAACCTAGGATCCAAATAGTCCACCAGTGGTGGGTGAAGGGAGTGGGGAAATGTGTGAAAGGTCGATTACTAATAAATAAAGGTGCAAAATAAACACCATTCAGGGCATCCACATGTGACACTGTAATGCCGTCCCTTTCGATGTAAGTTGTCCAGCTCACAGCCACTAGCACACATAGACAATGTGTTCTCAGTGTGACATACCTTCATCAGCACTCCCTGGACCACTAACATTGTTCTCCACTTTGCATTCCAGGTACTTTTCTCTGCAAACAAATAGGAATCTATTATATTAAATAACAAAATAAGACACTGAATAATGAGCAAATTGTCACATTAAGCCATTCAACAGACTGACATTTTATACATGTTAAAACTGCAGTGTGCAGCAAATCATCCTGGGGATGGTAGTGTAGGGATTTAGCGTTCACATTGATTATCTATAATAATTGATTTTTTTTAAAAAATCCACCATGGAGCTGAAGAATTCAGACTGAGTTTAAAAAAAAATCAGGAAATGAGACAGTTAGGATCAGAACGGTGACCATGAAGACTTGGGTTATAATCTAAGTGGTTCACTAGGGAAGGGAAGCTGATGGCTTTCCTCAGTTTGACCTGCCTGTGAACGTAATGAGACACCAATGTTGATTCTTAGCCACAAGCTGAAATGGCATAGCCACCAGTAGCTCAGGGCAACCTGACAGTGCAGGCAACAGTGGGAAGCAAGTGTTTACTGTGATTTGGGGTTCCCATCATGTACTCACCTGAAGTACATTCTGTACCATCAGTACAACAGACCTGGAAATCCTGTAGTGACTAGTGATCCCAAACCCCTCCTGCTGTGACATAGATATATATATAAGGCTGTCACCACCAAGTGCCGCCAACTGTTGCCACAAGAGAGGACTCCTGACAGGAGAACAGGGAATCTCAAGCTGTAAATGACCTTGCTACTCTCCTAATCTCCTCTGGGCACTGCCCAGGAATCTGCTGGTTATGCCCAGGTTTTTGGCCGACATTAGCACAGAACTGTGAAGGAGCCGTCCCTTGCCTGAGGGATGTTACGTGACACATGGGGACAATCTAACAAAGTGCACTGAAGGTTAGTCATTGCTGACATTTCCAGCTTCGTCAGATACTCACGTTAATAAATCCTGGGCTGCCAGCAGCTGCCTATAGATCAGATGGGATTCGAGATCAGGATTAAGTGGATCGTTCCACTCCTGGAGTGTCACTCCAAAGTGGGTTTTGTCACATCCCGGAGCTGTCAATCAGTAAACACACAGTCAGAGTCACCTCCAGCTCAGAAAACTCTCTGTCTCTGAATCATCCCACTTGGCAGATGTAAAGACCAGCGAGCTAATGGAGCATGTGACGCAGGTTCGTGTTGTGAGCTGACATATTCAGCGATAGCAGTTCATAGTCAGATTGTTCCATGATCCGGGGTGGGGGAGGGGGTGGTGGGGTGGGGTGGGACTGCTGTGGTAAATGTCACACCTTCAGCATGGAATATTTAATCATGTTTCGCAGCAGGTGAATGGAATAGGCAGTGAGTTAATCATCGAGCAGATAGGAGGAGGAGGCATGGAGGTACAGTGAGTGAGCGAGGGAGCGAGTGAGAGTGAGTGAGTGAGCAAGCGAACGAGAGTGTGACGGACTGTGTAAATGAGAAAGAACACGTGAAAGTGAAACAATGGACAAGTGCAGGAATAAACGATAGCACAGGACGGACTGTGTGAAAGATCAAGAGAGTATGGAATTGTCTTATCGTGGGATAAAGAGAATGGTGGAGAGAAAAGAATGGTACTTTGGAGATAATCTCCTTTATGGTGCATTTTTAACTCACCCCGCCCCAACCCCACGTAATCCTCAGGACCTCTACATGACAGTCATATAGAGACTGGTGGCCCCAAACTCTTCTCAACAAGCAGTGGAACATGGGTGTTTGCCAGTCAGGCCCCACATGCCACACCTTCCAAAATCCTATACATTGTTGTTGTGTAAAAGTCACTGTTTCTCCAAATTGGAGTCAAAGATCAGTCAGTAAGTCATCTCCATGTCCAGACTGACAGTTCCTATTTCCCTCACTCCAAAGCCCCATCCCTATGCCTTCACCCTCACATGTGCCTCTTTTGTATCTCACTCCTGCCTCATTCTCCCGGTGTTTTGGATCTGACCCCTGTCTCACCCTCTCCTTTGACCAAACTTCACAGATGCAAGCATCTGCATTACCAGCTTTCTCCTTTTGGTGGCAGCAGCTCCACTTCTCCCCTTTAAACACACCAGGATGGTAGGAATTCAGCATTTGTTCATTGCTGACACAGTGTTTCCTCAATGAAGACAACCACTGATTCAGTTCATTCACATTCTAAAAATGAAACAAAATAATCTATCAAAATCTATTTCAACAATCAAGGGAAGGTGAAGAGTTTAAGGAGATAGAATGAAGTGTGTTTGCAACACATACATGACTTAATACAGAGGTTAATGTAAAACCCACCAGTTATTACAGAGATTAAACTCATAATCTCCAAGAAGGATCCATAATGACATTTACCAAATTCCTTTACATCATTCACTTATTACAGAGCTGATGGGGAAACACCAGCAATTAGACAGATCACTTTCCAAACAATGAGATTCAGTGTTTAAAGAATTCTTGACAAGATATGGTGGTAACTGCAGCTTATTCAGGTAGAACAGTTAAAGCTCTGTAGAGTTTTGTGTGGGCCGTAACGCTAGCTGTGTTGTAGAATAATAACTCCGACATTGCTGCATCATTCAAATCCCAGGAATGGTAGAGGGTGAAGTCAATGGGCTCCAGTGGAATTTCCTCATTCACCAAATGCCCTGTTCTGAGAGGGTGGACTTACCAATGACACATCAAATACAGAGATAGTAGGAACTGCAGATGCTGGAGAATCTGACATAACAAGGTGTAGAGCT